GGTTTAGGGGTTTAGGCTTTGGGTCGGTCCTACCCGGTTCGATAGTCCCTGGGTCCTTCCTTGTCTTGGAAGGTTCCAGTGTCTCAGTGGAATACCAATCTCAAGAAGTTGCCAGAAGATGCGGTGCAGGTAGGGGCCCGGGCCTATGTCTCCACATGGGGTGTCCAAAATTGCAGACTACAAATTTAAGTGCAGCAATTGCCCGCAGTTTTAGCTTCGGTGCTGAGGCATTTTCAGAGACAATGTGCGCTCGGCTGCTTCATGGTTCAGGCACAGAGTTTGTAGCATATTGTTTTCATCCGTGGTTCCAAAAGGCGGGGTCTCATTAGGCCGTCTGTGATGATACAACGACATCCAGTATGTCGCACGACAAAAACGGAATCCTCGAACACTGGTTGCACTCGCCTTTCGTAGAGAGAGTTTGTCGGTAGATTTGATCTTGTGGTTGGACCGGGTGGCCTTCCAAACTCTTCACCCACTGGCTATTCTTACGACAACTACGCCAGCATTTTACTGATATCCTAGACGCCAGCCGCATAGTCCTAAGCAGAATGGAGAGAAGTCCTCATATAGATCTTCGATCTTTACATTAAACCTAGACCCCACGCTCATAGATAGATGCATATGTTTTCTTCAGGTTCACATATATGCATACATGTACATATAGCAGTAGGTTACATGCAAGTAGTTATATATAAGACAAACCCTAAACCCTAAACCCCAAACCCTAAACCCCAAACCCTAAACCCTAAACCCTAAACCCTAACATAAGAGGATGTTTGTCCATGAGCCATGGACTCCGGGACTTCGTCCCAAGGTCCCTATAGGGTTGCCCTGCCGTGGAAGATCACCGCCTACATCGGGCTTCAAGATCTGGGATGCGGAAACTGAGCCTGTTAAAGGTGAAAGGCTATAGGGGCTTAAGGCTTAGGGCTTACAAAGGCTTCAGGGGGTTTGGGGTTCAGCTTTCGACGTTCTGGATTTGGGTCTTCGATGCGGCTTGGGATATTCAAATATACAGCCAACAAACCAGATCGCAGCGCACCACAAAGTTTCATCTTCTAGCCCTGAAATGAGCCAAGCAGTAAGGCTCATGCCATGTGCTTGTGATGGCTCACATGAGGCAAGCCAAACCCTAAACCCTAAGCGAGGGAGAACCAAGCCCGCATGGTGACCCAGGGAGGATGGAATCCCATCCTCTTGCAGCGCCCAACCCTAAACTACCCGACCTCCCGCACCCCAAGGGTTAAGCAAAGCCTTGCATCCGCAAAATCTGATCCCTCAACCCTATAAGCACCTTACTGCAGAAGCCTGAACATTTACCAATGCTGTTCCCCTGCCGTCCTGATAGAACTTGTCACCAACCCGACACCCTGCTCCCAGCTATTGAGCTTTGTGTCGCAATCCCCTGCACTGCTTTAATTTTAGCAACCCATTTCATTTTGCGTGCTCTTGTGCATTTGATTCTCCGTTACTGTATACTTACTTACGCCCCTACACGCCAACAACTAAACTGTCCTCATTTTCCCTTCTTCACCCTTAGAAAGCCTTTTAACAGGACCCATTACCGCCAAGGAAGAAGGGGTATACTTGGGCTCCAAGGCCTTGCACCCTAGATAATCCTACATAGCCCGACATACCCCTGAAAGGGCCTGCGCAAAAGCCATGTATCCCTCTTAGTAACCCCTATAGTAGTCCCCTAAATAACCCCCCTGGAAAGATCTTTGACTATAGCTCATATAATTCTTATATAACTCCACATATATATATATAGAGCAGTTTCCATTTCAGTTTCCACTTTTCCATTTGATTCTCCATTACTGGAGTATATACAACCGGCCCAGGAAGAATGGAGATATTGGGCCTTTCCGGCCCTAGTGGCTGGCCGCCTCTTCAAGCGGAGCGTCTCCCGAAGAAGCGTGGCCGTCCCAGAGAGTTACCAGGACTGCTATTACCCGAACCCCTAACGTAGGCAGAATAACGGTCATTTGGGCTGTTTTCAGAGGTTCTGGGCAATTTGTTTACCGACTTTGGGGTTTAGGTAGAGAAGGGGCGCTGCAAAGGGAGGTGTAAAGATGTATAGAGGCCGTAGAGTTGAGGGTCTAGGGGTAATGGGGTTGAGAGTCGTATTTGAGGACAGCTTCAAGTAAGGCAAGGACACTTTGACCCCCTGTGCAGCAATTGGCCGAGACACCGTAACAAGAACTGCCCTCGGGGCCTTCCTCTTGCTCAGGGTTGAGAGGGAGAGGAGAGTACCATCCGTGGGATTCAGAGCCTCTAAACCCCAAAGTCCAAACCCCTAAACCCTAGATTATTCAAGGGAATCACTCCCCAACTTTGCCAGCTTTAAGCACCAGACAGTAGCTAAGGCGACGGCACCCTCGGAGTGGCGGAGCGCTACTCGTCGGAGGATTGGTTCGAGCACTTGCAGAACTTCCCCATGTCTATCATTCTGAAGCGGGTGAAATCTCACCTCATTTTTAATGTGATCTTTGCTGTGAGCGTCTTCATTCTCAACTACTTCACCAACCTGGTACGGCCGCCGCCGGTTGCATTGCTGAGCGCCTGCTCAACCGCTTTGGGCTTGTTGTTGGTTTTCCGGACTGCTGGCCAAAACTGTATAAAGGGTGGTAAGTCTGTGAAGTTGGGTTACCATCTTGGGGTCTACGGAGTCAGAATTCGCGCTTGCTTTAGGCTTTGAAGTCCAGAATTGCTGATCAGGGTAAGCCCAGAACTAGGATCTACTTTGGGCTATGCGGAGACCACGGAGAAAGGGTTTAAAGCTTTTTGGAAGACCTCTTTTCAACCATCAACAATGTGCCCGTGAGCTAATGGTCGGTGAACCCAGACCCCCAAAGGGATCTGAAAAATAGATCCCCTAGAACCATATGGGAAATTATATGAGGATATATAGGGGTTTTCGTGGGTCTATAACCCTAGACCCCAGATCCTCCCAGGGGTCTGGGAAGGACCACTGCGGCCTATGAACGATGGTGTGCTGGGTATCGGTGTGTCCGTGAGACCAAAGCTCACCTGCAGCAACTGCGGCGCTTAGCACGCCTCTGGATGACAGAGGAAGATTTGGAGCCTTATCTTCCAAAGTTCCTAACATGGGGGCTATCTCCAAATGAGGGTGCACCTAGGGCCTAGGGATTATATTATATAGGGGGGTACAACATTAGGATTATAAGGCGGATAAAAGGAGTGAAGTTATGACCCCATGTCTTTATGGAGCTTTTGGTTTGAGGGAGTGGGTGTCTCAGAGCCGGGTCAGTTTGACCTTCATTGTGTTCAGAAAGCAAGATATGTTTGTTGCTCGCAAATAACCTGTTTTTGGTACGTGTAAGAGCCGTAAATGAACCTGGCGTTTAAGAGCTCCGTTTTCTAGGTGCATCGAAGCCGTAAGGAATGGATGGACGGCCACTCACCTACTGCAAGGATACGTTTTCAGTTTCGCTTTATATGTGACTGGTACATATCCTGGTGTAGTTCCACTTCGCAGTGTCCAATCCCAAATATCACATATTTTGTGTGGTTCATCTCTACCTTCAGCATCCGACGCCCGGAGCCCCCATACATCAGAGTAACCCAGATATGTCAGGAGTCGAACTTGATCTTGGTGGGTTCAGGGTTTGTGATATTTGTACGCAAGCGTATGCTAACACTGGAGATCGCAATATAACCCTAAACCCCCTGAACCCCAGAACCCCTGAACCCCAAGCCCTAAGGCTTTACAGTAGCTAGCAACTTGAAGCCAGAGGCAAAACAGAAAGGGTTGCAGGCTTTACAACTTGCCCCTGCTATAAACCCCAGGCGCCGCTCAACCTAGAACAGCCCGAAGCCCTAAACCCTAAACCCTTTAGGATCATTTAGGGTTTAGGATTTAGGGTTTAGGGCCCTTCTCCAATTCCGGTCCTGTAAGCGGAACTTGTCCTTCGACCCAGCGTTAAGCTTTCCTCTAATCCCTGGGACAACATGTGCTTAGATCAATCATGATTCTGCCTTGTCCCTGAACCCTATACGGAAAAGAGAATGGAAACTACCATATTATAAGGTTTTGTAGGGATTATATAGGGCTTCAGGGTTACCCTGAACATTGTAGTTAAGCAAGACATACCTCAACCCCTAAAGTATGCAAGATAATGGTCCATTGGGCTGTTTTTAGGAGGTTTTGGGCCATTATTTTACCTAGAGCCCTAAGCCCTTACTCCCAGGTCAGTTGGCGACCTTCCCGGCCTATCTGGGCACCTTCCTGGGCGGCGGTGTAGGAGCGCGAGGAAAATCCTGGGCCATGCTCAGTGAGTTGGATCCTGGTGTGCAGTATCGTATTTATGTGAGTTTTGAACGAGTGTAGACCAATGTAGAGGGCCCCACTCAGGTCCCACATGCTATCATGTGAGTTGTTTTGGGGTCCTTTCAAACCCTAAACCTTTTGACCCTTTGGGAAAGATTATGTGGGGTTGCGGGCTTCTGGAGAATTGGGATTTCCTTCACCGAATGTTGGCGTAAGGAGTACAGTATGCAGTATTGTGTAGGCGAGTGAGAATGTGTCCTAACAGCAGGGTGAGGGTTACGTTATTGGTTATGTTGAGAGGGCATGACAATAAGAAATTCCACTTCATCAGAAAAGTTGCAACCATGGTAAGAGGAGTGACTATCTTTCAGATGGCGCATCTATGGCAGAGAGCTGGTGCTTCTTCTAGAGGTAAGTCTTACGGCACGTTTTGTAAGTGTTGCTAAATAGTATGTGGTTTGCATAGTTCCGGGTCTTGGGTTCTTTGCAGCTCCAAACCCTGAACCTTGAAAGCTCTAGGTGCCAAACTCCCTAAACCACCATCTGAGTAGTATTTTATTTGGGGATACTATGGTAACCAATAAAGAGTAAGATTACATCCTCCTTTTTGGGTATAGCTTTTTATATAAGGAATATAATCTAACTGGGTTTAACCACCAAAAAAACGCTACCCATCTGAACCTGAAATCCCTAAACCCTAACCCTAAACCCCTAAATCCCTAAACCTCAAACTTAGGAGCGGGACCCCAGGGAGATCTTGGTGACCTTCGGCGAGGGGGTCTACAAGCACCTGTCCAGCGGTTCAGGGTCTAAGGGTTCAGGATTTAGGGTTTAGTGTTGAGGGTGGATGGACAGAAATCCTAACCCTCAACCCTAAACCTTAAACCCTAAATCCTGAACCTTAAACCCTAAACCCGAAACCCTGTTTCATCCTGGGTCTCCTTTAATGTGCTTTGATATCGAGGCTTGGGTTTCAGGATGCGTCCTTGGACTTAGGGTTTAGGGTTTAGGGTTTAAGGTTTAGGGTTTAGGGTTTGAAAGGCTCAAGCCCGAATAATCATGAATAAGGTGCCTGGCTAAAAATGATGCGGCCGCGGCACTGTACACCGAGGCCATCCGTGAAGTGCAGGGTTCCTTTTTCTTGCCAGTGGTCTTTGTACATCTGCGCTTGTTTTTTTTTGTGCACGCGCTCTTGATCCTGGGAGGATTGTTGGGCCCTGATTTCAGAAAGCCGCATGAGGGAGGTTTGGTCAGGATTGCATACGGAATGCTGAGTCTTGTGAATTCCATAAGATTTCGCATCGCCACTCTTAGAGCATGGTTGTACTGAAATCGAGATGGGAGCTCAACTGTCCAGTGTTGCGCCGAAGCGTTCAAGATCATCTTTTGGTGCGAGCTTTGTGTTCCCATCCTGGCGACCAAATTTGTGCCCCGTTTCGGGGGCTGAATGTTAAGGCTGTTCTTCTGCGGGCTCAAACACTCTGGACTAGACCAAAAAGCACAGTAATGATGCGTAATTATGATAATTTATGATCGTAAGTACGTATACTGAAGGGATTTAATGCTAAAGTCATGTAACCTTACTAGTAGCTAGTATCATTGTAATTGAGAACTAGCACTAGTAATGGTAAAGGGAACAGCAATAGTGCTTTTGTAAACCCTCAACCGCAAAGATTCGCTGACTCATGGCTTTTAGAACTGTTGGCTGGGTCTGAGCTATGATATAACGGAGAATCTTTTCCGTTAGAACATGAAACGGAAACTCGGGTCGTGCAAAGCGTTGAGAACTTGGAATTAGCATGATTTTCGACACTTTCACGGGCCCGCGGGCTGTCATAACTTTTCACTCCATGTGTCAGCATGTGGCAGGTTTTCCCACATATAGACCCATCACTTTGGAATCCCCTTTGCTGACAATCGGAGCCCCTGCAGTCCTTGACCACCACTGCATAGAGCGTGATACAGTCCATGATTTTGCTAGGCTTTTACATCCTCAGGTTTGAGCGTATCGGAGCTGTTGGATTCAGGTTGTTCATGTGTTTGGCTCATCTACAGTCCTCAGGCTCTACATCGTATCTATCGCCTGCTAATGGCGTAAGCCGTATAAAATCCAAAAGTCATGGACTCCCGTCGGTATACGCAAAGCTAGGAATTAATCGCGCATTTGTGTGTGTATTTACAGAGACATGCAATGGGGTACCCGATCCTGTGGGTGTTGGTCCGAGGGCACCGGAGATGAAGGCTTGGAATTTAAGACTGCAGGTCTCAGGGGCTCAAGGCGAAGAATCGTAGCGCATCGTGCTTTGGTCATGGCTTCGGAGCTTGGGAGCAAGCCGATCCTGGAGCTGGCTAATCATCTTCTACTGCCTCCAGACGAGGTGCTTCCAGGAAGCTATGGGCACCCCGAACTCTGCCGCCGGCCTTGCGTGCACATGCATCGGTTTGGTTCATGCCTTGCTGGTGCCAACTGCGCCTACTGCCACGAGCAGCATCATCGGGCACCTTGGAAGCTGTCGAAACACCGTCGCAGCATGCTTCAGAAGATGCCACGGGCAACCCTCATGGATCTCTTGCTTCATCACATTTACGGTCGAGTGGTGAAGCATCAGCTGCTTTCGGAAGCGAAGGAGCTACTGCAGTACCTGGAGAATGAGCGTTGCGCAGAACCACAGCATACGCATCTCAACATAAACTGCAACGATTCGCCGCGGCTCAGCCGGGAGCTTTCTCGACTTTCCTTGTTGGCGCTGGCTCCTCGTTCGAGTCATACAACCTGCAAGCTTTGGAGTCGTGAAAGAGGGGCACAGATTACTACAATCCCTGCAAGGATGAAAACTTACCGGACTTCCTTTGATGGTTGTGCTTCCTCTAGACTCTAGCATAGGTAGTTATGATGAGGAGGGCACTTATGAGCAAGCTTCAGGAGCATTCCCAGAACAGCAGGTAACAAACGCGATTGTGTAATACTGCCGTTGCAGGAACTGCAAGCACGATCACTTGAAGGAGTCACACTGTCATACTGTATGACTTCAACAGCAAAGGCTTGCCGGCGTGGTATACTCCCCCTGAAGTAAATAGATATGGGGTATATGGGGATCTTGTTCTAATTTCCCCAAAGCCATATTCTATCTACTTAAGGGGGTCTATATGTCCGCACTCATGCTGCTAAAGTTGTACTTCCACTGTACGATGGGAGTCCAGCTAGTTATGGCAGAAATAAGAGCTTCAACGTGTTTCATGTAACACACAATTGCATGGAAAGGTGTAACTTCAACACTGCATTCTTATGACTGTCACTGCGGTGCGTTTCAGGTTGTAATTGTAATTGCCGTTACTAGCATTGTCAGTTCTCATTGCGAACGGCAGCAAAGCAACACCACCATAAATGCGGTCACCGTCTTCACAACCATAGTGCTCATAGAACCACAGCACATTTGCGCCAGACGCGAACAGCAACCTTAAGGCAAGCACTTAGTCTGAGTTGCTTTTGAAGACCTCAAGTTAAGTTACCAGAGAAAAGAAACCTCATCATGTCACTATAGACCTACAGCGTGGTAACTTAATTTATTTTCCTTACCAGCAACCCCATCAGATGCCAAGGTGCTGACCTTTCCTCATCGCTCGCCGGGTGTTGCCATGCAGCTCCTGAAGCAACTGAGGCTTCGCCAGCATGAGAAGCAAGAGTGCATGGAATTAGCTTTCCTGAGGGCTGGAGGTGTCATTCATTTGTAGAGGAGTTGAGAAATTTGGCAGTATTTCATATGGCCTAACCCCCCTGCCATTATCCCTATGTAACCCCTATATGCTACATCACTTTCCACTTTCCTTTCCATTATCCCTAGGTGACCTCCTGCGCAAGCATGGGATCTGCAGAGCGCACCGCCTACCCCACTATCAATGGGGATACAGAGCATCAGAGTTTCACAGCTCGTCTGTTGCTTCGTGAGTATTACTGCTTATGCACGGGTTGGTTATTAGGGAGCAGCAGAAAGTGATCCTTAAATGAAGCAGTGGCCTCACGAAGGCTGCATTGCATACATGTGTGCATGCCAAGCTGGTCAGCCTGCTGCAACCAATACCAGGAGATGCCAGTGAGCCTGACTGGGTTCATTTTGCCTGTAGTGTGGATCTAAGCTATATGTTTGCCTTATAAGATTCATGCAACTTCAAATTTCGAAACGAATCAGAACAACAACCCAGTAGATTTACGAGCATCAGGGTTTACGCTGTGATCCTGGCGTTGGCGGTTGCATCCGCCAAAACTGTCCTTACTGGCTCTACCGCTTCTATGGCGCGCAAGTTGTTTTAATGTTGCATTGCTGTTTCATGACACGTCCTGCAGTCCCAGAGGCAAGGAGCTCTGTTTTCCGCGTGGCCTTTTCTAGGATGTTGCGCAAGCATGCAAAAGCTTGTCAGTCCCTGGGCGTTTCGATTTCATATCGTATCGTATGGACTGACACATCCTCGCCATGCGGCTACAAAACAATCTTCCCTACATCCGGGCTTTCGCCCTGAAAGCAAGCTTGATGGTTACAAGTTTCACAGCTCAGAACCATGGCGTCTCTGTACAGTTTGTAGCAGCTTTGGAATATTGAATTGTTCTGACATGAAGCATCCCGCGTTCCCGGAAACAATGGGAAGAGTTGTTTTCCGCGACAGGTGGGCCGCTTCCCTGTCGTGTCGTTTCAATGAAGCTTTTGGTGTGTCAGCCTTCTGCAGGCAGTGGCAGGATCGTGCCCACCATGCTTGGGTCTCGGGCACATCATAGAAGTACCTCAACTTAGCATTGCTTGAAGCACCTAAGCAGCTGCCCTTGTGTTGGCGTGGTCTGGGCACGACTCAGCATTTCACTGTGCATCGTATGGGCTGACACGCTGACACATTGCCACCATGTGGCTCCAAGGAGCTCGTTGCTGCCTCCTAGCTTTCTGTATTTCGAATGCAATGTTGAGAATGCTCTATATGCCACATCTCAGTAACATGAAGGGAGGTCTGCTTCGTTCTGAGAACACTTGAGTGGTGCGCCTGCTGCAAAAAGCCGCAGGTCTTTGAGACAATGTGCAGGCGTTCTGCTCGTGTAGGCAACGCCCATTGCGAGCAAGCTATCCCTGCAACCACTGCAAAAGATAGTCTTCCCTGCATGCGGGTTTTCGCCCTGAAAGAAAGCTTGATATGTATTAGCTCTGAATCAGAGCGTTTCTGTACAGTTGTTTTTCTTCGGCTTTGGAATATTGAATTGTTCTGACACGAAGCATTCCGCGTTCCCGGAAGCAATGGGAAGAGTTGCTTTCCGCGCCAGGTGGGCCGCTTACCTGTCGCGTCGTTTCAATGAAGCTTTTGGTGGGTCAGCCATCTGCAGGCAGTGGCAGGATCATGCCCACTATGTTTGGGCCTCGGGAACATCATAGAAATACTTTGCTTGAAGCACCTAAGCAGCTGCCCTTGTGTTGGCGTGGTCTGGGCACGACCCAGCATTTTCACTGCGCATCGTGTGGGCTGACACTTCGCGACCACGTGACTCCCAAAAGTCCCTTTCTCTGATGTTCCGTGTTCCCAAAGGGTCCACGTACCCAATAATTAGGTACCTGGGTTTTCGGGAATAGTTGTAAAAAATAGTAACATGAGCAATAATGACAATGATAATATCAATGATAGTAGTAATCCTGTATAGGTTTTGGGCAAGTATATGATTATTGAGCACTTGGACCCTTAGGGGTTGAACATGCTTCATGCCTCATCTCGGAGTCTCTATATTAGCTTACCTCTGCAAGTCTCCTACTATGAGAGGGTAGCATAGAGTACTTGAGATAGACCTCAAAGCGACATTGCTTGTGATTCATGCCCTACAGTACCCTTGGGATTTGCCTTTTAGGTTGTTTGGGGTTGGGGGTCGTGTTGGGGGTCTAGGTCTTTTCACGACGGACGCGGACAGGGTTTCTGATGGTTCCCTGCCATGACTCCAAGATATTTCTTCGGATTTGGACCAGAGTATGTGGAATTACCGCACATTCAGCTTTTCAACTGCAAATTTCCGCTTGTGGCGATACACCGCTTGAAGTTCTTGGTCTCAACGACTATACCCACGTCATAATTACATGAGCCTTAATCGAAACTCCTTAAAGGGGGTTCTATCGGGGACTACTTTAGGGCTTCTTAAGGGGCATACAAGGAGTTTGGACTATAGCTCACATGCGTCTGTAGGGTGCCTAGTGCTAGGTCCGGCGACCATCGGATCTATCACTTGATTTGAAGATGCCGTGGAACGCAAGAGACTTTCATCATAAACCTCGCCCCAAAGGACCCATGTAGCTATATGGTATATACTCGGGCCTTAGGATAGGTATATGGGAACCTCTTTGGGCCCTAAGTATATACCATATATACCTACATGGAGCCTTAGGGATTTTCATCAGACCCACCGCCTGACCCATCCACGAAATCTAAAACATGGCAGAAGCATTTTGCGCCCCATCAGTTCAGCATTCCTCCCAGAGTCTATCATTTTCCTTTCGCCCAGTAGAACGAAAACCCACAACGCCAGCAGCCTCCTTGTACCCTTAGATAGGGGTACATAGTCCCTAATTGCGAGTGTTCAGGGGATATTAGAGGGAAGGAGTAGGGTCTTGGTATATGAATTCTTTTCTGGTGTGTACTCCAGATCCCTGTTCAGCAATGCAGGATCGAATGCAGGGCCACATCACCGGGGCGCTTGCAAGCAACACAGATGTGATATGGAAGACAATGTGTTTTGCTTGTTTTCGACAAATAGTGTGCCCACACAGGCAAGACACATGCTAGCTGCTAGCTCCAAGCATAACTTAGCAAAGATGGAACCATCCTTATCTCATACTTGTCGGCATGGCCGCTGCTTGCTCCTCATGGCATGTCAGGTCGTCCAAAATTCTAGTTCCGTCCGTACATCAGTGTTCAGGGTGAGCAAAAAACCCTGAGCTGCAACCACAGCACTTGAACTGCGCAAAGTTTGGCAGTCTCCAGGTGGTACGTTTCACTGAGATTGCATCATGCAGTTCCCTACGTTTGGCCCTTGCAGTATTTGCTAGTTCGGTGCCTGGAGTGGTACTTTGGGCAAACGCCCAGGTATTGAGGAGATGGCCCAGATTGTCACGGTTCCAGTGTTGCCCTCAGGCAGCCGGTGCTTGTGAGCAGTTTAAGGTTAGGCAGGAATTGCCCTAAATCCCATACACCGTAAGGGAACAGTGCGCGGAGGCAACGCCCCCTCGGTTTGTTGTTCTAGTTTAGGGGGTTCAACTTTGCATGTGAAGGGTATTGAAAAAGCTGCGCTTGGGAACCCATGCCACCCATGACAGGATTCTGCAACCGTGTAGGGATTTCACCAGCCAATCTGTAGGATAACCCACTTGCAGCTGCCCGCCCAAAGTAGCAGTCAAAGTCTTGTTCTCTCAATGAAGTTCTAACTTGACGGATCGGGCGAGGCCCACAACTACACGGTGCGCGGTGTATACCCGCCCGTG